TTTAAGTGTTGTAGATCTCTTATTTAAAGTTAAATGGTTAAAAAATATTGATTGCTTTAAAAATCGGTTTATATTAAATTTCAGTTTATTTAAGCAATCTACAGAAGTTAAAAAAACAAGCAGTCTTCCTCTTGCAGACTGCAGACCTTTGGTCCACCTCTTCTCCTGCAGATGTGTGCAGATGTGGTCTGCAGACTGCAGACCTTTTTCTGCAGAAAAAACAAACAGCACCTAAGACAAAATGATACTCCCCGTAATTAGAATTAGTTGGCCATATTAGAGAGTAGTTTTCAGGTGTGTAAGTAAAACAAAAGGATGATATGCGTGAGTGAGAAAAGAAGTGGGAGAGACATTGGACCAAGACTTCATAAAGGAAGAGGGAGACAGTGGATGTCACTCATTATCGTCAGAGGTATACATCTGAATTTTATTGTTGATTTCTTCTATTTTATTTCATGACTTTGAGTTCCAAATCATCTCCATAGAGTTCATACAAGTTTTAGTCCCTCTAAGTGCATTCACAAGTTAATTTGGTCCCTGTAAGTTTATTTTAATCAAATTAGTCTATGTAACTAGGAAATATGATTAAATTAGTTCTTTATGTAAAGTTTATCTTTTAAAATTCTAAGTTAACACGTTAAATGACAAAAAAACTAATGCACAAGGTCATTGCGCGTGTGTCAATTAATGTGATGATTAAGAATTTTATGACATACATTTCGATTTGAAGGACTAACTTGATTCACATTTTCTATATATAAGGATTAATTTGACTCAAGTAGTGAACCTACAGGGTCCAAATTGAGCCGTGAGTACACTACTACACTTAGTGAGACCAAAATGAGTATTAACTCCATCTTCATAATTTAAAATAAAACTTTAGCTGCAGATGAAAATTTGATGGCATTAACCGTGAATAATTTATGCTTTCGCCTAGTAATTCGTTACTAATAAGAATGATTCATCTATACAAGCGAATCTTTTAAATAATCTCACTTTTCACTGTCACCTTAAATAATCTCATCTTTCCACATGTATGCGAGTTTGGATCACCGTTAAAAAACTAGCCACCACTTAACAAAAATTTTAAAATATGTCTGTTTTCACAAATAAATGAAAGGTGATATTATTTTAGGTAATTTTTTTTTTGTTTTCTTAATTTCTAACATAAAGTTTAAATGTACTTTTAAAATTCTTTTTATAAATAATACTCCACCAAATTTAAGTGTTTTTAGAGTGAAACTAATGATTTTTTAATAATTGATAATCTGATTATAATTGAACAATAAAGTATTCTACATAATGGAGCTAATATATTTACTTCATAACTCACTAAATTTTTTGTAAGTTGCAATAACGTTTCTTGAACGACACTCCGAATTGTTTTTGGATACTATACTATTATAATTTTTTTTAAAATGGTACTACAAAACTTGTGAATAGTTTTTTAATTCTATATAAATGTTTTTTTTGCAAAAAACACATTACAACAATTGTGAAAATAACACAATAATTTTTTCTTTGAAATGAAACTTTTATTTTTATAACTCACTACATTTTTTGTTGCATTGTAATTTGTTTCATGAACAACACTCCAAAATGTTTATTGATAATCTTCTATTACGTGTGTTGTTTTTTCTAAAACAGAACTACCCACCTTGTGACTTTTTTCGATAATTTAGTACAAATGTTTCCCCAAAATAATAATTTAAAAGTTGTGAAAATGACACAATATTTTTTTCTCCAAAACGGCACTAATAAATTTTATAACTCACTACAATTTTTTTGTATTGCATTTTTTTTCTCAAGCGATACTTTGAATTATTTTTTGATAATCCAATATTATATTTCCCCGAGAATATAAAAATTTTTTGTAAATAGTTATTTTTTTAAAACAAATTGTGACAAATCTCTAACAAGAGTGTAGTGTTATATTTTTTTAAAAAAAAAATTAAAATTAAAAACAAGCATTTTCCAAAAAAATTCCCACGATAATCCCAGCTTTCATTTATTTGCGAAACACATGCATTTTTCCAAAAATTCCGTTAAGTAACAGTGAAAAGTGTGATTTTTTATGAAAAAACATGAAAAGGTGGATTTATTTAAAATAAATTTTCCTATAAATCTCTACTCAAAGATTAGTTCCCATATATCTTTGATTATTTTTTAGATTCAAACAATATAGTTTTTGGTTTTTCTTAAAAATAATATTTTGTATAATGATTATAATAATAAAATAATGAGTCTCCATTCTCCAAGGTTGAGGTTCCTTTCAATAGTGATGCAATTGAGTGTGTTTTGGTTTAAAGGGAAAACAAAAGGAAAGAAATAATTCTCGCAGTCCCTCTTGAATTGTTAGCATTTTGTCTAAAAAGAGAGTTTGAGTTAGATCTGGCAAATTAGAATCGGAACCGATTACCCGAACTGAATTAATCGAAACCAAAACCAAAATGATCCAAAAAATGAAGATCCGATCTATAATCGAAAAACCGAAATGATCCGAGTCGAACCGAAACCGAACTAAATAATTTATATCCGATTTAAATCCGAAACCGATTAGATCCGAAACCGATAATATCCGAACCGATCAAAGCCGAAATCGATAGTACCCGAAACCGATAAAACCCGAAACCAATTAGATCTGAAATCGATAATGTCCAAACTCGATTAGAACTAAAATTGATAAATTTGGAACTGTGTTTTCCTTTCAATAAGCAAATTAGATTTTTAAATTTTTACTTTTATTTTACCATTTGAACTAATTACATTACTTGCTCATTCTCTCATAAAATGGATTATCATCTTGAAAAAATTACAAGAGTTCATGCCTTAAATTTATTATATTTAGAAATTTAAGATATGTTATACATATAAAATTTTGGATGAATAAAGTGAGCCAACTATTTTGTTACTAACAAAATTAAAGGGAATAAAATATTTGAAAAACAAGGTGAAGCATCAATTGAAAAAAATAGGTCTAAAAGTTGAAGGTGAATTGAAATTGAGAAATGAGTTGAATGGTGGTATAAGAAAATGAGCAATGCTAGGGGTACACCAAATGGTGTACCCCATTATTTGTCACCCACCATTTTCTCCACCACTCATTTATATTTTATTTTTATTTATTTAATTTTTTTAGTCTCTTGCCCTTTTTTGTGGTTATGAAGAGGGTGGGGGACAAATGGGGTACACCTTTTTTGGTGTACCCCTAGCATTTTTCTAAGAAAATTGATAAGATTAAGCAGGGAAAGTGAAAGGGAATGAGTGAAATTTTGAACATAAGAAAATTGATAAAAAATTAAGTCTTTGATTAGATATTGAATAAAAATATAGTACTAATTTCAGTCTTAAGTTACAAAATCTAATTAAAACAATCTTATTTTTAAGAAAAAAACTCCCTCCGTCTTAGAAAGAATGCTACATAACGCAAACCAAAGCAAAAATTTTTAGTTTTAAAAATTTATTTTATTTAAAGATTGTTATAGAAATAAAAAAATATGTCTACATATTTAAAAATACGTAAAAAATTTTACAAAATAAGATGTTACAAGAATAATACTCCGTAGTTTATTTTATCAAATAATAAATAATACTCCGTAACACATAAACAAATAAAATTACCGTATTTTTTAAATAGTAAAGTGATATTTTTTTGGAATGAAAGGATTATATGATGACTTGTATAGAATAACTAGATTTTATCCTAATTTCATCCCATTACAATAACTTTTATTGGTCTGGGTGTTAATTTGATTAGTTCCAAATCAATTCACTCAATATTAGTCAATAACATTAGATGTCAGTATTAGTATTTTGAAAATACTCTCTAGCGGCAGCATTTAGTGTTATTATTTTCAAATTTGATCAAAACCCTTACATTTAGGTGTAAAATTAATTATATTTGACTCAATAAAATTTAATTTTATCTAATTTCAACCAAATACACTCAAATAATTTATAAAGTTTGCACTCAATTAAATAAAATTCACTTAATTTCACCCAACTTTACTCAATTTTTACCAGATTGTATTCAGTTGGAACGTAACACTATTTGAATTTATCTTTTATCTTTTCATTTATAAACATAAATATATTAGTAGATGTGAGAAAAATTTAATATATCAAAACTAAATTTGAAAATCAATTTAATTATATTAAATTTATATCATAATTACATACTTTTTTGATAATTTGTAGTCCAAATTTGTAAAATATGACAAAAAAGTCAAAAAGGGAATATTACTTAGGGTAGAGATAATATAATTATAAAAAAATATAAAATAATATGAGGTATTGAATTGATGATAGATTGATACATGTGATAAAACATAAACAGAAACATGGATAATTAAATTTTAATTAGAAAATAATATATATCCAAAATATATTTGATCCGAAACCGAAATATATCCGATTCAAATTGTATCCAAACTGAAATGTATCCGAACCGATTTATAATCGAACTGTATCTGAACCGACTTGAAACCGAACCGAACCGAAAAATGTATAGAACCAAATCAAATCCGAAGCGAAATTAAGCCAATCCGATCCGAACCGAACCGATTATAACATATATCCGAAAGATATCTGAACCGAAAAAATCCAACCTGATGTTAGAAAAACGTCCCAACGCTAGAGGGGGGTGAATAGTGAGGCACGAGAATGTTTATAAATTTTCGCGGAATAAAAGTCGCAGGGATAAAGTAAAGAGCGGAATAAAAAGGAGTAAAGGGAGCACACCAAGATTTATACTGGTTCACCCCAACGTGTGGCTAGTCCAGTCTCCCGAGAGACTCTCTCGAGCTACACTACTTCCGTTAAGCTTACGGGTGCTTAACAAACCATTACAACCCGAGAACTCGAGTCCCACGAGCCTCAATACACTTGCTCGGAGATAC